TCGTGGCAGAGTTTATAAGTTTACTTTATATTCATACAAAATTTTAAAACCGCTTAGAACCTAATGCACTCTAAAACGTAAGCGAAGAATAAAAATAATAAAAATCACGGTACATTCAGATAAACCGTACATACGTATTTACAAGCTTTGAAAGGATTTAAGACTAGTAAAGGCAATAACAATATAATTTATAACGATAAATTGAAGTCATAACAAATTGGCATTTGGAGCAATTACTCGTTACTGTGTTGCAATAAATCTCGCTCTTATACAACTTACTCCTTTTTTATTGCGCTTTAAACTAATAAATATAAATTATCCTTACTGTAACAGCACTTGCTTAAGCGCAACTTACCGACATTGAAGTTTAATAAAAATTAAACTTTAATGTTTTAAATAAATTAACCAAATAAAAAATTGATTGTTCCGTTAACGAATGGCAGGAAAGACTTAAACATGAAAATAATTTCAAGCGAGAATCCAATAAATGCATTAGAGGGAAGTGGGAAACGACGTGACTCCACCAAGATAACATAGCAAATGTTGATTTAATTGAATTAATCATTTAATTATTTAATCGAAAGTAAATCGACAGTTTTCTTTTATTAAAATGTTCAGAAGTGTAGGTTATTGTATATTAGGTGTTAAACATCTTGTCTCTCCCTACCTTCCCTTACATAAAGAAAAAAATTCTGAACTACACGGGGGCATAGAAAATAATAACTATGGAATTTTGTAAATAGAACATAAAATCGAGGACAATAACAACAATCAATCACCATGTTAGAACTATTGTTTTGCATTTTTATACCGTGGTGATTTTCCAGAGCATCGAAATAAAGAGTCACACGTATTGTCATCACGATTACTTCAGTTTGACGACGATAGAATTTATAATTAAACGCAACGATCAACATCAACTTGATTTGACGCAGTGAAGTAGTTAAAAAGACAAACCATTTTTTGGTACAAATAATAACAACGTTAATTATTCTTTAAAGAACATAGACAAAAACGGGAAACCTGCACTTCGTATTCCACAAACTGTGAAACGCCGGGAGAACATGGCATTTGGCATTTATAAGCTCCGGGAAATAGAAATAACCGAGTTAACGTTATTTTAAAAACTTGTCGTAAATGATTGTACAGTTTTTATACCTTGACTGGTGTGGGAAAAATTTGTTTTTAATAAATTCAGTCGTAGCGTGACGTCACGAAGGGTAATTATAGTCACGCTTATTATTATTATATCCATAATATTGTGAAGGAAAGCTAGCTGGTTATGTGAAATACTGCTTGTTACCCTGACATGAAAAAACAACATTGTAACTTAAATTATTATTAATGTTTAACATGATAGTTTTTTTTGTTTTGAAGGGTGTTTGTGTACAGTATTGTAGATCTATTTTAATATAAAATAAGATGTTTAAATTGCTCAGCAACTTAGTGACGTCAAACGAGAGCTAAATTAAGTTAAACTGGTCCGAAAGTACTTGTAGTTTGCATATTGATGAAAACAGTGACTTCCGAGTTTTCTAAAAGTTTGAACCTGAGGCGAAGAATTTTTTTTTTTCAAAAAATCTATAATAATTTTTGACTGACCTCGTGGACTTTTCGACATGTGAATGTACCATTTCAAAATTGCACCAAAATTTACAATAAAAAATATATTTGGAGCGGGCAATGAAACGACTAGTTCTGAAAAGGACTGATTTTTGTGGCACAAACAACGCAAAAGTAGAAATAACAATAAACCGAGAAAAATTGATACGTAAGTCTAGGAAATGCTGTCAAGTCAAATGTCAATTATCTGGCAACCCGTAATTTTTTTACCAAAAATCTGCATGTTTAAACTGAAAAGAAGGACGGATTCATTAATTCCAAATTTAGAACCATATTATTTTGGACATTTTAAGATTTGCTACGAAAAATTTTGAAATGACGTCATTAAACTTTTAAAAGTGAAGACGTGAATTCTGCTCGACGATTTGCCATGTTCATTGTAATCTTAAAGAGTGTGCAAAATTTCAAACTAATTGGTTTTGTAGTTTCTAAGTTAAATTGTTAAATTTTCTCGTAAAATTCATTTTTTCCAAAAATTACATGTTTGCTAGGAAAAATTTTGAGATGACATCATTATGTTTTTCGAAGTGGTGGAGAAGTAAATTCTGGTTAACGATTTGCCATGTTCATTATAATTTTAAAGTGTGAGTAAAATTTCAGAGAGATCGGTTGTATAGTTTTTAGGACAAATTTTTAAATTTTCCGGTAAAATTTCTTCTTTTTTTTCAAATTCTAATAATTGTTAAAGTTAAAAAAGGGTCGGATTAATAAATTTCAAGTGTAGAATCATATTATTTGGCGCATTTTAAATATGATTTGCCACAAAAAATTTTGGGTTGACGTCATTGAATTTTTAAAAGGGGTGAACAAGTGATTTCTGATTAACAATTTACCATGTCTACTGTAATCTTAAAGTGTGTGGAATATTTGGAAGTAATCGGCTCCGTAGTTTCTAGGCTAAATTGTTAAATTTTCTCTTAAAATTCTATTTTTTTTTCACTAACTTACATGTTCAAAGTTAAAAACGGAGCGGTTTAATAAATTCCAAATATAGAATTATATTATTTTGCACATTTTAAATAAGATTTCCTACAAAAAAAAATTGAGACGGCATCATTAAATGTTTAGGAGTGAACAAGTAAATTCTGATTAGCGGTGGCGGGTTGATTGTAATTTTAAAATGTGTCCAAAATTTCAGAGTAATCAGCTTTGTAGTTTATGATAAATTGTAAAATTTTTCGTAAAATTTTAATTTATTAATGTAATTTTTTTCTAATCGTACCATTTCGCCGTTTTCAAAACTGTAGCAAATTTAGATGGATAACGGGTGTACAATAAAAAATATAGTTGAAGCTGGCGGTGAAACTCACACACTTCTGAAAAGAATTGATTTTTATCACACAAACAAAACGAAAGATAAAATAATAAACCGCGAAAAATTGATGTGTCATTCTAGGAAATACTATCAAGTCGAATGTCAATTATCTGTCAACCCGATTACATTTAAGATAGTAGTGATGAAATCGTCAATGCTCCAAAGTATATTTGGTTGCCTATTTAATCTCAGAAAATGATTACCCTGTTATTTATATACAATACACCAAATAATAATTCCAAACCCTACTCCAAATATATTTTTTATTGTACACCCGTTAGTTTAACATTTTTGGAACATACTTTGTAATCAAATTATAACTTTAATTATTATATATCTAAGTAACGAACGCAGAAAAATGTATGCGTGTAGTTAGTTGTTATTAATGGTAAAACTGCCGTTTTGTTACATATTGTTTTAAATTATAACACGAACGAATTTAAATTAACGTTAATAAATAGCAAGTCGTGCTAATCTCTGAATAATTTGACAGGATGATGTAAGATTCACGCTGGAGAATTACCAACTTTAATATTGACGTCATTACCAACTCCAAGTTCTGTTTTCTTCGATTACACGCCACATTTAATGCGAAAGGAGAAAGAAATTTGTAAATGTAATGTCACCATAAAATTCAAAGAAACACGTATAGAAGACGATAACAAATCTCATTAAGAAAATTCTGCGTTTATTTTGTTTTTGCAAACGTTATTTACACACGAAAACAAAAATTGCGAATTTGCGAAGTCAGTTGTAGTGTTGGTTAATCTTCAATTAATTCGAAGGTACAGATTATATTTGCAATAATTCGTGCAAGCTGTTTGCTGCTAATACAAATTTTCACCAGTAAATTCATAAATACCTCACTTTTATTATTAAACAAACACAAATGTCCAACTATCCCCGGAATTGTGTATACAATGAATTGTTTTTTTCAAAAAAGATAAGTCTCGTTTTAAAGCACAAGAGCAACATGTTTTCTCTCCTGTAGTTGCAGGTGAAACAGCTGAAAAGGTGTTTATTGTTCCAGCAAAATCAGCGGAAACGTGTTACCTGATAACGTTTGGTTTAGGTTGTAAATTGCAAATTTTATAGGATTTGTAACGTCGCGTTATTTGCCATTATCTTTTATTGTTTTTCAGTACACAGTCTGCAATTGCGTCAAGTTGTATACAGGCTGCTCCAGATAAAAGTCCGCAACGAAATAGTGACCTAAGAACGGATACCGATATTGAAAATGTGTAAACGCCATTGTGTTGAGCTTATTGCAAATCTAACGCATATATGACGTCACCGTCGCTACGCAAACGCATTGTATTTTTTAATTGCAATGTATATTTATAAATGGGACACCTGTGTATGTTAAATTCTGACAAACTAGCAGAACGTGCACTCATTGTTTGCAGTAATATTATACCTACATTTTAAAATCTATAAACAATTATTATCATCCCACTTAATTCCATACTGCGAAATGATTTTTAAAAATACAAGCCTTGACGAAATTATTTGCTTTTATATAATTACAGATAGATAAAGACACTAAATTTTAATTTAGGTTAAATTTCAAATGAATGTGTTCATTGTATGCTTCATTCTTAACAGACATTCCACCACTTTTAATAAAATGGAAATGCAAAATACAAGGATAAATTAGCACTTCGCAACCTTAAAAACGTTAGAAATTTGTATATTCTAGTAGGTATGTCTGTATAAAGGCGAACTTACAAAAATGTTATTGTAGTCGGTATCTTATTTATTAATCTACCCTCGTATACTTTTTAATGTTTAATACCAGGCACCCGTCGTAAGAGGCTCCGAGCGACCTCTTATACCGAAAATGGAAATTCTTGTAATGTACAAATGACTGAAGCCTTAATAATTCATCAAAAGCCGTAAAAGTAAATACGTCAATAAAACGAAACGAATTAAGCGAATGCGTATATACTACGCAAAAAGCATACACAATTAATTTTTTCCGGTCTCGATGTTTTATTTATTCATTACGTATTTTTAATCGCTTTGTTCGCCTCCGCATTATCATCGTTTTCCGTTTTTCCAGCCGAAGTGAAAAAACTGGTCGACGCCGGCTGGCAAAAGAACGCCTTCAACCAATACGTCAGCGACATGATAAGCGTCCACCGGAGCTTACCGGATCCCAGGGACGAATGGTAAGTCTTTTGCATTTATATCGAATGCAGAACGCGTATGTGCACTCGGGATTTTCCGAACGTATAATAAAAAAGACAAAAAAAAACGGAAGGAAACTTTCTCGGCCTCGTTTAAAGATAAATGGAAACAATTAAAACTTTCCTGACTTCTTCTCCCATTTCATCCGTACACCGGAATCACAATGGACTTTTCAAATTTAAATTGTCACGTTTTTTTAAAAACTCTCGACGAGTTTATTTCTTCGAGCCCTCCGTCGAGTGTCTTTTTGCGGAAGTGCCCGCTCGAATTCGTGCTGAGATGATTGATGACGTATTCACATACACCCCGTGTAAAAAAGCTTTTCAATGTGTGGGATTAGAAGCTCGGGCGCTGTTAATTTAATTGAATTCGAACGTAATTAAATTTCTATTTGCCTGTTCCATTAAGGTATTGCGTCGCAGACTTGACGACAAAAATGTTTGCCGAGGGCTTAATTTGCTTTCAAGGGGGCGCCAAGGTCACGATTAGATTAAAAGGGCTTTTAATTGCAGAAATTTTATTTCTGCTACCGTCTGCTTTCTGTTTACAAAATTACGCAAACGTCGACACTTTCACCAATTTAAGTCATTGTCCTCAAACCTGATTTGCTTGATCGTGTTAGATAGAGTGTCTTTACACCCCTGCAAGATTTTTCATTACATCCCTAGGGAAAATAACTAAGTTCCGGTAAACACCAATAGCACTTTGCGTCGTACGGTAATAAGTAACTATTTCGTGGCATTCGTGGGGCGCTCCTGCAGGCTTGCACACTCCTTTAAATTGAAAAATGTATGATGTGCGATCATAAAACCATACAAGGTAAAGACGTCCGGTTCGTTTATTCCGGTTTCGTCTCTTTAATCGAATTCGAACGATCCCGGCGCATCCACCATTTTGCTATGTCTCGTAAAAAAAAATTGGATTACTGTCTCCAAAGAAAATATAATGCTCTTTCTCTAATTGGATGAAACGTTAAACGAGTTAGCGATTGATTTAGAATTTTCCATTTCCGTGTGTTTTAGTAGGAATGTCATGTTGGCAGGAAGAGAAACGCGATATTCCCAAATTGATATTCAGAGTTTACATCCTAAATTTAAGATTGAGCCATTTAGTGTCGATATATACCGGTTTCAATATTCTTCGCTCGAAAAATGAGTTATAACGAATTCCGTTTTTGAATTTCTGGCATCGCGTCGGCGGAGTTTTTTTATGTGAGAAATTTTTTCTTATTGGAGTTCTAGTAATGCTTTATGAATCAGAAGTGATATTGTGGGGATATTGAAATCTAGGGAAATGTTGCACTACATTATTACTTTGAAGGAACGTTTTTGTTTTATCTTTAATATCTATTTAATGTTCCTGGGCTCCGGTTCCTCAAACAATGTAACGTTACGTCGGAATAATGAAAATAATTTCTATTCGAAGAAGATATTCCTATTTCACGTTTTCTACTGCTTTCGCTTCACCTGAATGAGAATTGCTTTTTATACCTCCGGCACTCGTTTTCGTTACGTCTCAAACGGCCAGAAACCAAAAATTGCCGGATTTTTGCCGGATTTTTTGTAACTACCGGTATCGGTTGGTATTGTTGCTTGTCATTCATTCTGTTGTCTGCGCATGTTTTGAAGTAGAGGGTTTCTATAGGGTCAAAGTAGGTCATGGAAACGTACCGCCTCTCATTTTATATGGACTTACGACAAAGACCACACGCATCTGTATAACTGGTTGCCTAAATGCTTCATATCTTATTAAAGAATAAATGTTCACAGATCCAACAGATGTAGTGAAAATTTAAAGATTAGTTCCGAAATAAAAAAATGTAACTGAACCAGAAAAATATAAAAACTGAATGTCAAGCATAAATTTAGTAATAAAGAAATGTCTCGTAGACAATAAAATAGTATAAACTGAGAGTCAAAAATTTTTCAAGGGATATCCTTGAAAAACTTGTTTATTTTTTTTTATATAATTTTCAAAATAAGTGGGTAGGCTTAAAAATTAAATCAATTAAAATAACCCTAGATTTTGACGCTCAGTTTATTAGAAAATTGATTCAACGTTATTTAGACCGAACTTTCGTCGCCCCTTTACAATCAAACAAATCCAGTTTTTCCGGAAAATTACAATATTTGATTTTGAAAAATTGAATTTATTTTATGATGAAACCTGTAAGTAAAAAAAGTGTTAAAAAGACATTCGATTAGGATGGAATTCGAACCCACACGGGACAGACCACAAGTCCGAAAATCCCCACTCTTGATGCATAAGAGAGCTAACGGCTATATGAAACATGTGGAAAATATTGGACAAAAAATTATGTAAAGTAATTGTGATAGAAATGAAGGCGGATTCATAAACCACGAGTACAGGAGTGCATTATTTTATAAAATTTATGTAACCTTTACTACATGAAATGATGAGGGAACGTTATCAAATTGTTGGTGGAGATGATTACACACATTTTTGGTTAGCTAGCGTTTTACCATTTACTCGATATTCCCAAAGTACATATACAGCCTGTTATTGAAAGGTACGTACAAAATAAAATCGGCAGTTGGTCTCGAAGTATGGGTGCTAAAATTTAAAAAAAGTTCAGGTAAAAGTGTTCTACTTTTAGAGATAAAAATTATTAAAATTTATGTCCAAATTCGTTGTACGCCTCTGATAAAAAGATCATCTTTCGTTTCTATAGCAACATTTAATCTTGACAAAAGTTTTATTGTTACAGTTGCTAGGATTTACTAAAATAAATTAATTTTACCTATTTATCCTTCAGTAGCGTCTAAAAAGATTGGATAAGGGTTAATTTTCCCCTTAAAATTTTGATAAGACAAAATAAGTTTTTCCGACTTCTTAGACTTCGCGAAGAACTGTCCATTTTGTTGTACGTACCTTTCAATAACACCCTGTATGTATAAAATCTAGCAACAATCGGTCCAGTAGTTTCGGAAATTATGTGTCTAATAAAAGTCGGGACAGACATACAGAAAACGGAGACCTATTTTTTCGTACTCTAGGGGTCATGAAACGTCGAGAAAACATGAAAGTAGCCTATCGCCCTTTGGACCCTGTTACAATACTTACGACGACTTGTTTTTCAAACTTGACCTCGAGTAAGGAAGTTTAAACTAAGGGGGTATTTTAATAGGGTGTATCCAACGAATGACTACTTTCATGTTTTCTTGACGTTCTTCTGTCTGTCCTTTGTTGCCGATTTTATTACAATAGATATAACAATTTGATGGCTTCATCTCAACGTTTTACATAGTAAATGCTGTTTAAATTTTATAAAATAACATTCTCCTATACTATTAGAATCCGACTTGATTCATTTTTAAGATTTCTGTTACAATATTTTATGTGCAGATAAACAAAGTTTCACACTTTGTTGTGGTATGAGTTAAATAAGACTTTAATGTACAGATGTTCATAAAAAAGATCAAACTTTACAATCTTCATATATCGATATTTTTCGGTTTTTTCCAATACAATATTCTATATTTTATTACTACATCTTATTCTATTTTTGTTTTCTTTCTTTCAATATGTTGGTGTGTTCCTTAAAAAAGTAAAAAATCTCAATAACTGTTAACTTTAAATGTAGAAAATACTTAACAGTAAAGAGAACAAAAAAACAATAATGAAATACAGGGTGTTTTATTAGAAAAAACTGAAATATTTGGCGTAGTAAATTTTTTAAACACTACATTAGAACTCAATTTTATTTACACCACAATAAAGGTGATATATTTACTTATTTCTCCACAAATTATTTTAAAAATAATCCAGTTGCGTTCTTTTTTATAAACACTCCCACTGAGAAAAAATTTAGTAAAATTCGAATAACTTGGCAACGTCTCATTTTTCTGTTAAGATATTATTTCTTTTTATTTTGAAGAACTAAATTACCAAAAAAATTGTGTTTTTGTGTCTCTAACCAAATTTACAAAAAAAAAAAATTTGGTTATAAAATATAAAGACTATAAAGCCCAATCGGTATATATTATAAATATATAGAGTGTTCTATTTGAAAAAACTAAGTTGTGCATTACCTTTTAGAAACAGAACACTCTATGTAGTTGAAAATAATTTTAGTATATGGTCCGCAAAGAGCTGTACAACTTTAGTCTTCTTTTTTCTATTTTAAATCATTCATGAATAATCAGACATCGAGCAGGGGACGTTTAGTGACCCATCTAATACAGGGTTTTTATAAATGATTATAGGTTCGAAGTAGGTCATGGAAACATGCCGCCTCTCAGTTTTGGACTTTACTAAATGCCCAAAGACTCACGACAAATATCACACGCATCTATACAACTGGTTGCCTAAATGCTTCATATCTTATTAACAAATAAAACTAATTCATTAAACAAATTTATTCCCGTTAAACGTCACAGTAAATATTGAAAATGTTCGAACAAACCTGTTGATTACATCTCTAATGTTAGCCTCGAACAATGTTTCTGGAATTATCAAATCACGGTATTTGGCCAGACACTCTTTCTCACAAGAAGTTACAGAATACACGCACTCTCCGTTTACGAATGTTCCATTGCGATAATAAGACATAACAATGAAAGTATCTTGTTCAACAGAATATAAATCATTTTCACAGTCTTCGCTTCCTAGTAGAAAAACAAAAATTGTCGTACTATCGCACCAAGAGTTTTGAAAACGACCATTTTGTTATTTTGAGCTTGAATCAACGAGAATTAGTGTAATTAACACTTGAAAAACGTTGAAACAATATAAACGATTACGTTAATGACAAGGGAGAACTGTCGTAATGAGGCATAATTTCAGCGAAGCGGGATTTTTGAAATCCATGGCCAACTACGCTCTTAGAATCATTTATAAAAACCCTGTGTAATAATGTTTTATACAAATATGTAACCCACGTTCACCAACTGTTCCCAACTTAGTGAAACAGAACCCGAGCTCGATGCACTCATAGACACTTTTAACAGCTAGATTTTTT